CCCCACTAATCACCCAAGTCGTGGCCTGTCAACACGCCCTGAGAGGAGTCGGATTGCTCTACCGGAGCTAGCAGAACCGAAGAAGGACGGTTACACTCTTTTGGGCACGGCAATGAACCTTCGGCTTCCATAAAATGCTGTGAAATTCTTGAGTAGCTACAGAATTGGCGGCTCCTCCACAAGGGTTCAGCTCCATGATTAAGTAAGCAAGTAAATTAATAATATATAAATAATAAATTCGGGAGAATAACAACATCCATTAAACGTGTATGATCAGTTATCTCTAAAAGTGAATATCGCAATACTTGCTGAAACATACTTTCCACTACAGCCATCTTCTGCTCCTACTCATAACAGCTATGAACTCGTGCTGTAACACATATAACGACAGAATAGCATGCATTACACTTTCATATAGGGTACGAGGATTAGAGTGAGAGTTCTCACCAGAATCTGTCTCGGTCCTTATGGCTATCAATTGGTACAATCCTCTTCCTTGCTTCACTTTCTGAGCTCTCGTACACAGCACTTCGCAAATGAGCGAGGCTCTAATACACATTTTGTTTTCGTGGTCTTCAGTTGCTTCCCTTCAAAACAATGTACGTAAGAATGGAAATCTTTACATTCCTTATACGTACTTACTTACTTATGGAGCTGATCCCTTCTTGAGGGGAAGCCAAATCTGTAGCTACTCAAGAATTTCCCAGAAACTTATGGAACCCGAAGTTTCATAACCGTGTTCACTAGAGCCGTCCTGAGCCAGATAAATCTAATCCATACTATCCCATCCTATCTCTCTAAGATCTATTTTAATATCGTCCACCCACCTACGCCTTGGTCTTCCTTGTGGTCTCTTTCCTTCTGAATTTCCCACCAATATCCTATATGCATTCCTCTTCTACCCCATTCGTGCTACATGCCCTGCCCACTTCATTCTCCTTGACTTGATCATTCTAAGTATACTTGGAGCAGAGTACAAGTTATGAAGCTTCTCATTATGCAGTTTCCTCCAACCTCCTGTCACTTCATCCCTCTTTGGTCCAAATATTCTCCTCAACACCCTGTTCTCAAATACCCTTCTCCCTTAATGTCAGAGACCAAGTTTCACACCCATACAGAACCACCAGCAAAATTATAGTTTTGTATATTCAAATTTTTATGTTTTTGGACAGCAGATGGGAAGACAAAAGGTTCTGGGCTGAATGGTATCAAGCATTACCGAATTCAATCGCCTCTTAATTTCCTCCTAATCACGTTTTGAGCTGTTATCGTCATTCCCAAATATACATTCAATATATGTAAGTTTAAATGTGTTATCACCGGCAACGTAAAATGATAGAAACAACATTTTGTGAGAGTTCGAAAGAGAACGTCTTTATCCGCCAAAATGTGAAACAGAATCAAACCTCAGTAAAACAATGTTTCAAAACAAAGTCATTAATTTTGTTTTCCAGGTCCAGTAGAATGCTGAACCACACTTGTCCGACCATCACGTTATCTGCCTCGGAGTTCCTCATTCTCGACAACGGTTCTCTTCAGTACACAGGCAACAATTCACTCTATGTAGGTCACATTTTTGACTTATTTGAAATTCTGGAGGATTACACGGCCATTGTTTGCGCAATAAAGTACGATGAAGACAATGATGACCTAATTTCGGGAGCGTATGAGGGCTACCTTACGCAGTTCTGTCTTTCAGTTTCCGTTATATGCCTTATCTTACACATCGGAATTTACTATGCACTTCCAAAGCTGTGTAACTTACCCGGAAGGAACTTGCTTTCACTGTCATGGGCTATTCTGTTTGCACAAGCCGGTTTCCTACTTGCTGTGAATCCCGCGTTTGAGGTTCCGCTCGGGGTATGCATCGGGTTCGCGGTGCTGGAGTACTATTGCTTCCTGGCTGCATTCTTCTGGATGAACGTCATGAGTGTGGACGTATGGAGGACATTCTCAAGATCTGCCTTGCGGGGTAGTGGGGGCTTGAAAACGCACTGCAGATACGCAGGGTATGCCTGGGGCACTTCAGCGCTCATAGCACTCTTGGCTCTAACCGTGGACCTCAGCACAGATGATGGAGCTGTGAAGCCGTATTTTGGAAGAGGACAGGTAAGTGTTACCTGCGGCTGGTGACCTGATAACCGCCTGGGTTTTATTCGTTTTTGCTGTATTTTTCTCGAAAATTTAGTGAATTAGTCTAGTGGTCAGAGTTCCTGACTACAAATCCAGAGGACCGGATTCGATTCCCGGCGCTACCAGATTTTCTGAGAAGTAGTGGGTCTCGAACGGGGTCCACTCAGCCTCTTGAGGATAAGTGAGGAGCTACTTCAAGGAAATAGCGGCTCCGGTCTAGAAAACCGAGATTAACGGCCGTGGGGATCCGTTGCGCTGACCGTGTAACACACACTATCCGCAAAAGTTGGCACTAACTTCGTCGACAAGCGGTGGTCGCTTGGTCGGTATATTTCGCTTGCGTACTACAGGCCACGGAGTTTTTTTCTTCGTTTTTATCCTATCTTATGAAACTTAAATACTAAAATGTATGAAACTGCGACATCAAATATTGTACTATACGCTAAGATAACACATTTCCTAGGAGTCTTTTGGTTCCGTCTCCAAAACACATAGCCTAACCATCCTTCTCATCAGCGACCTCTACAAATATTGTTCCATAATATTTTAACGCTCATCTCATCTGCCAGTCTCTCTAAACAGGTATTATAATATTTTTACAATCTGCTGATATAAAGGTAAAGGAAAATTTGTTCCCGTGCTACGTCATGAAGGCGTATGGGGGAGTGGATGTATAGATCCACTTTTCTTTACCTCGGCATTAGCTGGAGTTGAGTGGTCAGCTTCGCGCCTAGGTCGCTTTACTCCCGGAGAAAGAGCCCCTGATACCCATTGGATAGGAGGTTGAGTGAACCCCAGAGCGGGTCTGGACGACGTGGGGATTGACCCTACCGGGACTCGAACTCCGACCCTCAGTCGTCCAGCCCGTAGACAGTCGCTATACCAACTGCGCTATCCCGGCTCCCACTCTACTGAAATATTTAGATGAAAATTTAATCTGTTCCTTTTATCATATTATATGTGATAATGTTATACTCGGCCATCCTGCTGCACTTGTTAATGATTTAATTTGCAGGAACAGCTTGAAGGTGCAATTTCCTGTCGAGAAGCAAGACAAGCTGCACCTTCAAGCTGTTCCTGCAAGTTTAATCGTTACTTTTGGTAAGGCTAAATGATTCTGATGATGATTTGTTGTGTATGGAAGAATCCTCAGGATGAAGTACAATGTCTGAAGCAATAAACATTCTTATATGACGTTCCTTTTGTCTACCAAATAATTCAGTTCCATGAATTAGTATCAGGAATCTGCTTTTGGAAACTTATTCACTCACACTTGTAGTCTAGACAGACAACACAACAGGATGAGCCACGCAGCACAATGGAATACACGAAAGCGTAGATGGGACTATACCTCGAATATTAGAATCACAAAACGAAAACGCTGCAGTTTCAACCAACGTTTTTTTAACACCTGATGATGGCTAATGTCGGCCGAAAAATGTAGTTCAATGTACAGAAATTGTAAATAAATTTTAAAAGGACGCATTGTNGTTCAATGTACAGAAATTGTAAATAAGTGTGTGATATAAGTAACTTTTAAATGGTACAAGTATCATGTTTTTGGACATTACCCATCGTCTTGTCGAAATTTAAGACGGTTTTTAAATATAGACAAGACAATGGATAATGTCCGAAAGCATGATACTTGTAGCAATGTACCATCGTCACAAACTTTTAGATCTTATTAACTTTTAAATGAGATTTAGAATGACGTGTTGCACGTAAGAAGTGAACCAGTGACATCTATTGAACAATAAATGAAGTGCAACAGGATGCTACAATATAATATTATTCGAAAACTTCCATTCTACCTAATTACCATCATTTTACGCCATAAATGCTGCAACTGAAGTGCATATGTTTCTGTGACCACATGACTACTTATGGACGGAATAGCAAGGACACGTCCAGCAGAGAATTCCGCAAGTATTGTTGTTGTGTGTGGCAGGTATGTTGGTTCGGTAACCGAGGAGGTCTAGGCCTCTTTCTTGCGATGCCTCTATTCGTTCTGCTGATGGTGAACTCGGGGCTGTTTGCCAACACAGTCTACTGGATCTGGCAGGCACGGCGTCAGGGTGCGCGGTATATCCGAGATAAGACAAGGGATGAACTCATACAAACTTCAGCCAGAAGCTCCACCGACTTGAAGGGAACTATCAGAAAACAGAATGAGGTCTCGGGCGTAACCGGTCGGTAAGTTTCACGCACACTGCAAAAGGTCACGGATTCAAAGCTCCGTTGAAATATCCTGAATGAAAGAAAAGGTAATTGTGCAGAAATGCCCCAATTTAACTAATTTTCCAATGAGTACTGGTAAATGTGATTCCGAGCTTATTGACCCGACATATTATACTGCAGTTCGATGGCTTAGCTGTGGAAAGGTTCTTTCGCGCTTCTTTCAGCTCAGGAATGAAACTGATATATTTCTTAACGAGAAAAACCATCACGAACCACTTTTATCAGATACCAAGTGGCTTTGGAAATCAGCAGTTTTGCTGAACTGGTGAACCATATGAACCATTTGAATTTAAAGTTGCAGGGTGAAAGTAACTTAGTCTGCGATTTATTTGCACTTATCAAGGCATTCAGAGCAAAGTTGATACTTCTGGAAAGCCAAGTGAAAAATTGTAACTTTGTTCATATGCTATACTGAGCAGAGTTGCATAAAAAGGGTGAAGCAGAATTTCCTTCCTCGTTTGCAAATTTAGTCATTTCAGGTTTGAAAGAACAATTTCGGAAGCGATTTGCTGATTTGGATTCCAGTGCTCAGGAAATTAGATTGTTTCGAAATCTGTTNATTAATTGTTTTAATATAATTTGTGATGAAAATATGAGCATTTGCTGCTACTGTCTGTAGGTCATTAATATACGATAATTTATTCTCACGTACTTTGTATTTAGTTTATGAAATTCTGTGCTTTCAATAAAACTCATATACCTAGAGTTATTAATTTCTCATTTATCCGGCCCGTTGAAAGTGCTGAATTACCTAATGTGGCCCGCGGTTCGAAAAGTTTGGAGACCCCTGGCGTAGAGGTTAAGGTACTATGCTACAAGCCGGAAGGTCGCGGGTTCAAGTCCCGATGAGGTCATTGGATTTTTTTCAATTGATCTAATCCTTCCGGCCTCACTAGGCCCTGGGGTTTACTCGGTCTCTAACAGAAATGAGTACCAGGAATGATTTTCCTGGGGAGTGAAGCGCGGCCGGCGCGTAAGACTGACAACCTTACCGCCATCTCTGAGCCGATTATCAAGGTAATGTGGGACCCTTAACGTCTCACAACCCTATGGGCCTTCATGGCCTCTTACAGGGATAGCTTTACTTTTTACTTTACTTTTACACGATATGACCAGTGTATGAATTGACTGATTCCATACCGCTTCACTGGATATTTAAATAAGGACGAGGATGTAGGATGTAGGATTCTCACAGCAGTGGTTATAAAGAGTTCTATCAGCTGGGATATAACGCCGTGTAGTCCTTTGGAAGTGAAAGTGAAAAGAGAAATCTTCAAGGACGAAATTTCACGCGGCTACCACCAACAGGGCGGCGCTACTGCACACCTAGATCGTGTATCCACGGCGCTGCTGCGCGATGTGCTCGGGGACAGAATGATGTCAGAAGATATCTGGCCACCATGGTCACCTAATTTGACGGCCTTGCTTAATATCTGGGGGCAGAAATGGAAAGCACAGTTTACAAAGGAAGTCATCACACTCTTGTTGAAGTGAAGGAAGCCATTTACAAATTTAATGAGGCATATCCCTATGATTTAACTGTCGCTTGTCTTTGCAAACAAGATGCGTGTCTACACCCACGTACGTTATTTTAAGTTACGTATGGATGAGAATTGTATCTGTATTAAAGCACAGAGACTCTTTGAATATGCTCAACGTCTACGGTAGGCGCACAGGGCCTTTGGGCTCACGCTCTACATAGATAAAAGCTACCCCTGTAACAGACCATGGGGGCCCATAGGGTTTGAGACGTTGAGGGTCCAACATTATCTAGACAATCGGCTCAAAGATGGCGGTAAGTTTGTCAGCCTTACCCGCAGGCCGCCCTTTACCCCCAAGAATAGTCCTGGTACTCATTTCTGTTAGAGGCTGAGTCGACCCCAGGGCCATATTGCGGCTGGAATCGAAAAGAAAATCCACCTCATCGGGACTCGAACCCGCAACCTCCCGGCTTGTAGCATAGTGCCTCAGCTAACTACGCTACCGTGTGTCCCCACTCTCTACATAGGAGACGGACAAATACATACCGACTGTAATTATTGTAAAAGTAAATCGAAATAGAGCAAAGGATAGGAAAATAACTTAATTAAGCAGATAACCTGGTCTCATTAGATGATTTCATAATCCTCATTTTCTGAGTACTGAGTCGAGATAGATGGAAGCAGATGTGTTTATGCCTACAGTTTGTATTAATGTTACGACCGCCCATCTCAAAATTCGACCCACATCATTAATGGACTTCGTTGCGAACATCAGACATTTATATAAGGAAAAAAGAGAGAACATTTTTCGTTATGTGCAAATTAGTTTTAGTGTTGCGTACAAGGGAATGTGGGGCACACGGTAGCGTAGTTGGTTGAGGAATTATACTAAAAGTATAAAGGTCGCGAATTCAAGTCCCGATGAGGTGGATTTTTTCAATTGACCTGGTCCTTCCAGCCGCACTATGGCCCTGTGGTCGACTCAGCCCGTAACAGAAATGAGTACCAGGAATCTTCCTGGGGCGTAAAGGGCGGCCGGCGCGCAAAGCTGACAAACTTACCGCCATCTGTGAGCCGATTATCTTGACGTCTTACAATCCTATGGGCTTCCACGGCCTGTTACAGGGATTGCTTTATCTTTTNAAGATGGGGGCGATACGTTCCTCCGAAACGTCGGTTAACACCACATATACACGGTGCCAAATCCCAGAAGACCGCTTTCTTCATAGAGCTGCTTAGCTTGGAGAGAAGTGTGACTAAAATATAGCTCAACTTGACATTTATTTGAGGGTGTATGCTGTCCACTCTGCCATACTACTATATCAGGAAATGTGCTCTGTGCGTTACCTAATTAAACTTAAAATAGTAACAGCAGAAACCGATTTAAAATTGGCATTTCCTCTGCAGGAGGTGCAGAACTGCGCCATGGCACGTTTGCTAGTGTATACTGCCTTGCGTCCGCTTCTGTGTTGTTTCCTGACACTTGACGGCTCCGATTTTGTAAGAGAGACTGTATTATGTAAAATCTGTATTTAATGACACTTCATTAGCTGTTTCGCACCCTAACACCCATGGAACTGAAATGAACGTAAATGTACCTTCTGAATTGCTGAGGTAAAGCTATCCCTGTACCAGGCCGTGAAGGCCCATAGGGTTGTGAGACGTTGAGGGTCCCACATTATCTAGACAATCGGCTCACAGACGGCGGTAGGGTTGTCAGCCTTACGCGCCGGCCGCCTGTTACCCCCAGGAAGATTCCTGGTATTCGTTTCTGTTAGAGGCTGAGTCGACCCCAGGGTCATAGTGCGGCTGGAAGGATTAGGTCAATTGAAAAAAGATTTTATGACGTAGATGACCAAATACTGTAGTCAGGAATGTCAGACCTCATGTAGGTAAACAATAACCAGGTGGGGTGAACGATAAAAAATAAGAGAGAAGAGAGAAGAGTTATGTATCTCTCTCTGGCCATATTTTGAAAGAAACTGTAATACTGATAGAAGTGAACTGCTTTTTGATTTACGCAACATAAGTCTGCATGGTAAATTTAGAACCAGTTTGATACAAGTGAACAAAAGAGCGTATGATTTTTCATAACGTATATTGTACTCTCTTCCACATATGCTGAACCCTGTACAACTTGTTTTCTCTTATTACTGTGCAGGAAAGACCAGGCTCGATTCTACCTTTATCTGAAGTTGTTTGTCATCATGGGCCTCACGTGGGTATTCGGATTTATAGCAGCCTTTGCACGTGTGCCTTTCCTGTGGTACCCATTCATTCTCTTCAATGGATTACAAGGAGCCTTCATCTTTGTCATGTTTGATATGAAGAGAAACATTGCTTGCATGTTATGGGACAAATACATCAGTCGACATGGATATAAACCTCCAGGTACGTGTGCAAAGAATCGAAGAAGAACTATTTTAAATTTAATCTCCTGTAAACTGAAAGAAGTTATGACTGTGTATCCCCCCCCCGGCTTTAACCTTATCATTGGGCCTATTTGTAAACAACCCTACGTACCGTAGATCAAGTAAGGGGACCCAAACGGGGAGTGCAAGTTAAACTACAAGTGGAACATTCACAATTAATAAACTGAAAAGATACATTTAATTGAACAAATTATATAATACAAACATCACTCATTTTTGGCTGGAACAACCACCATGACCAATAAACAAATGTAGAATAAATAAATAAATAAATAAATAACGAAGCTCAAAATGTCGTCCGAAATCAAGACTCTACACAGTAATCACACCTAAATTTTATAAAAAAAAAATCCCAATTTAATGACCGAAAAATTCAGAAAATAAAAAAAGTTTAAAAAATATGACCTAAAATGTAACATATCGTGGAAAATCTACTAATTACTCGCATTCTAAAGTGTATTTTTAATCTGTATTAACACTGTGAACAAATCGTTACTCTTTTTAAGTTCGTCCTCGTTATTATATTGAAAATTAAGCAATAAATGATTAATTTGAAACTAAATGCGTTTATACGATTTTTTCCTACCGTGTTAGAATGTAGATATACGGCATATATTCCAGTATTCAAGTGTGACTTCATTCAGATTTGCGATAGATGATAGTTAACATGCGGAGGTTCTCGAAGGTGAGTGAGCGTCAATTGTTCGACAGCACATACTCGTACTTGGAGAAACTCCTTTCCACATCTGCAGTCCTAATGGGAGCGTACTTGAAGTGTCCCAAATCACTGGCAGCAAGTTCTTCTTCAATATTCATAGTGCTTAAGGACTCTCCTGTCAGGATTCGAAAAGTGCTGCATAACGTTTCATAACCTTAGTTTTTATCTATGTTTTATTTGTCTTGACACCATTTTACCAACGTCCCTTCAGACGTTCTCCAAAATCACTGGCTATTTTTTTTTCGCCAGAGCCAGCGAATCTTCTAGCGTTGCTCCCTTTTCCTGTAAGCATTTGATTCTTTCTGTCAAAGAACTGAAATGTGCCTCCATGAATGCCAGCTGTCTTTCCATTCCGCTGCAAGAGAACTGTTCCTGAGCAGCTTCAGTTGCCCTCGCGTCCTCCGTCTTCACTGAATCTACAGTGTTATGACGGGTTCCAGAGGCACTGGAACAACAGGAGCAATAGACTTAAACAGCATTTTACGAGCTGGAGCCTTGACGAAAATCTTCTTCGTCCACGACACGAGAGCATCCACTTGAGGAAATGCTAATCTCACTTCCTCCGTCACTCTATGCAGTGCATGAGCTAGGCAAGTAACGTTCACCAATTTCGTATAAAACGACTTCATTGACTTGCCTGCTTTTGAAATATATGGGGCCGTATACCCTTTGGTTATAGTAGAAACATGGACCTGTCAAAGAATTTACAAATTGTGGAATGAGTAACGGATTCTTCCACCTCACTCGTAGGAAGAAACACTTCATCTGGTCCATCAGTTTCCAAGGTTCCAATCACGACATTTGCCACGTAGAGAACCACCGTATCGCAGGTCTCATTTTCTTTCCACGCACTTTATTCATAGCTATTTCCGTGATACTGTTGTAGCACTTGCAAAGGTACTTTTTCCTGTGGGTGGATTAATCCGGGATGGAACCACCACAATTCACTCCCAGAAAAATTTTCAACTTTTCATTGTTCAGAGCCCAAAATTGGATATTTGCGGACACCAGAGCATCACACAGATCTCCGGAAAAAAATCCGATGACTTATTTTCACTTTCTGATGAACACTGTTCCAGTAATATTTGCACAGATTTCTTTTTGTTAGAAATTTGCACTACTCGTATGAGCTTGTTGCGGCCGATATGTTGTTGTACCGTAAATCTTTTTTCTGCCGTTACACATCTCACAGTATCAAATGTCACCGTGAATTGAAAATATATCATCTCCAAACTCAGCTACAATCTGCTTTAAATGACACGATTTAGTTGGCTTTGCTTTAGGTATCGCGATAAAACTAATTACTCTAGCGCAATAGAGAACTGAACTTTTCATACTGAGAACATTTCGCCAACTGTAACTTTGTCTGTACAGTTAAGGGCAAGAAACTGAAGACAGAAGGAGTTTTATTGAACAACAATATATCATATGAAGGGAAAGATTCCGACTAGAAATATTTGTAACTAAGCAAATTGCTGTTGCTAGCTTAAAATGTTTTGTGATATGTATTGTCAGCATTTTCTGCAAAACGAACGGAAAGGACTGACAGGATTACAACTTATTATTGCATATTGTGATAGAAGGTAGTTGGGGTGCAGCTGCAGGCTGCCTTTGTAGAGGGCGCTTAGGAGAAAGAGAAAGAACACTTTACTTGCATATTATCCACATTTCAGAAAACGTATGAAGAGCAATTCCCTAAAATGGCTAAAATGATAAAATATACCCTTAAAATTCCAAAAATTTACCAAAAAATTACACAAAGTCTGAAAAAAGGCCTAAAACTTAAACATGACGAAAAATGGATAACAAATTACCTATAAAGTTTAAAGTTCTGTAATAAGCAGCTCATCTGCGGGATTTATATATTTACGGGCATCGAATAGGATGCAAGGAAAAAAGATGACATCTCATCAAAATCCAGGCCCTGCTAATTATCAGTACAAACCCCATGTTTAGTCACTAATACGCGAGAGTATGTAGATTAGTCATAATTAGTGTACAATAATATTATGTATGTGAAACGCCAAAGACAGGCTATTTTCTGGCGGGAACACAATTCTACTGTGGCTGTGTTCAGGATAACATTAAATAGCAAATATTCGAGTCCACGAACGCAGAGACGGTAAAGACAGGTTCTGAACCTGCAGTCCAAATTTTTATGCATGGGCCTTCTAGTATTTCCCCATTAATTCAGAAAACAAAAATTCTGCAATCCTCGTCTCAAGCCTCTTCTAGCCATTCTCATGTCTTCACTTCCACACCGTCCTTATCGTTATGGCGGGGGCGAAGACTTGGACCTTCTAACAAAGTGATGCTCTTTCTTCCTCCAAAAAGGAAGCGTCTCGCAAATATTTAACAAAAAGTTTTTAAACCAGACTTGCTGTCAGCGGCCTCCGTAGTCTAGGGGTAACGTTTCCACCTCATGACTCAAGGTACGNCCGGTAGGGTACGGCGACAGTAGAAATTAAAGGGGGACGCACAATGGACAAATAACTGGTCTAAGTGCATGGGGAACCCACCCCCTCTAATAATAATAATAATAATAAACCAGACTTGTAAATAGACTAATAATAATAATTTATAAATATTTTAACGAATTCATGCACATCAGAGTAATTGTTAAAGGATAGCATTTTATATTTATGACATTGTAATATTGGTTTCCGTATGTATTGATAATGTCATTCTGAAGATGGTCGCTCTGACCGAAACATGTAAACGAGGAAAGATAAAAAAAACACACATTTATCAGTCACAGTGGATGACGTTAATAATCTTTTATACTATTACTAGTGTGACGGACTAGGATGAACCAAGTCCCATGACTTTCCCCTTTCGCCTACTCTTCTGTTACTTTTTCTTCCGCATCACCCTCCATACTTCTTAAGAATAAGGCACTAGTACGCTAGCTCCCTAAGACAGGCCAAGACAACTTCATTCTACGCGCATTTAGGAGGGAGAATCAGTAAGAAGGTCATAAATGGATATAAAACGCAAAACACATGATACTCGAACCTGAAAAAAATTATTTCTCGACATATTCTCCACCACTGATACATCTGTACAATCGTTTCACCAGTGCGTCGAAACCTGCAGCATGGAAGTCTTTAGACTGTTGTCTCAGCCACTCCTGCACCTCAGTTTGAACTTCTTCGTCATCAGCGATACGTTTGCCACCAGCTGTGGCCCGCTTTACGCTACAAACACTTCCCACCGAAAACAGCAAACATATCTTTATGAATACCTTTTGTACTGCGTTCTTTTGTCCACAAAAAGCAAACAACAGAACGCTACTCTACGTTAGTACACCCCTCAAACACGGTCGCCATTTTGACTACTAAAACAAACCTATGAACATGCGCATTCGCTTCTGCTACCTAGACTGTCATGAAACTGGACTGTGCTGCTACATAGTAATACACATAGAAAATCTATTAGATCCATTACTGCTGCTTTATTTCCATTTGTGATCATTATCAAATCATCCTATAATTATACATTATGTAATTTAAAGTGCGCCGTTGAAAGGAATCCAGATGTTGTTTCTCGATTTTGTGGGTATGTACGGCAAGAATTCCACTTTATCTTAATTTCACCCTCAATTCTAATAATTGTTATATGACAATGCCAGAGTGAAGGATAGAACAATTTTGTGTATTGTTGTAGGTTTCCTTATGGCTAGTTCTACTAGTTCGACTACGAGAACAACGGGATCAAGCAAGAGAAAGTCTAGGGAGCCGCCACTAGGCAGTGCCGGAACTCATGCTCCCAGTCGCTCCTCGGACATCAGGACGGCTTCAAGCTTACAACTGGCACCCACTGGCACCTGAGAAACCAATCCATGGACCTGTGAAACATTATCCATGACAAAAGAAGCTGACTTCACTTTTCACCCTCAAAATTATAAATTAAATTATACAAAATACAATTATATTTAAAAACAAATCTGTTTCAGTTTCGAACGGAGTTTACAATTGAATTTCGAAACGGCTTCATATAAGTTAATTCGACAATTCGATCGTAATTTACGGTCTTATGAAGCCATTCTCGTCTACAAAGGTTCTCAAGAGCCATGAAATCTAAACTGGGCATCACCAGAACACATAGCTGTAATACAACTCGGACAGTTGCAATGTTATTAACCGAAGCACTGTCCACAAGAATATTTTTACTTATATTTGTTTAAAGGGAAACAAATGTAACGTATGTACGTACTATTCTGTATAAAATGTGTAATTTTTGCAATTAAATGACCGTCTGTAGGAACGTTCCTTTGTCTTGAAGACGTCAAATGGGTCGGTACAGTGTTCTTTTAAGAATATTAGGAAAATCTTTACGTATTTAACTGAAGTAATTAGATTCAAAAGCTCGACGATTGTCATGGAAATGACGTAGATGATGTGTTGTCCTTTCCAATGGTCACCATGTCTTTTTACCCTTGGCACTACAGCCCCAATGGGCCTAGGCCTACCTCCATGAACTTCTCCGTTCACTTCGGGTTTTATAGATCTTACACATGCGGTAGGACTCCTTGGGCGTGTGATCAGCTCGTCGCAAGGCCTCTACCTGTACACAAACACAGAAAAACGCACACACACACAAACTAAACATCCATGCCCTGAGTGGGATTCGAACCGACGATCCCAGTTTCCAAGCGAACGAAGAGAGTACATGCCTTAGACCGCTCGGCTACCGTGACCAGCTCACCATGTCTTTAGGCTGCACAAAAGGAAGCGAGTACGTGCAATCTGAAAATGGTTTGGACAGGAAGCGGACTGCTCCCAGAGTCGGCCTGGTGGCTATAAGACAACTCCTGCCCTTCATTCATTCATCAGTAATCTGTCAGATGACAGGTCCACAGCCTCTTCCAAAACAGTTTCTCCAGACTATCCAGGAATAGTGATAATGTGGTAGTTTTTCCATTTGCTTTCCACATCGCAGTACAACAGCCGTTCAAACCACTCTGGTCACGCCTGTTGCTATACGAACTTGAACCATCTCGAGCATCATTTTCTCTGTGCTTCAAGTCGCCGCTGATGACGCTGCTTCCGGCATCAGTTTTCGGTGTCTCTCTTCGTCTGATGCCTACCCTTTGACCTGTCCAGCAAGGGAGGCCCTGCCAGTAGCTACGCTACCGCTGGTATAGCTCTCAGGGTCCTTGGCATACTCAAACACCCTCACCACGATAAGGTGGAGACACCAACGAGGGGCTCCTGCCCTTGTCGAAAATTAAATTCAGACCGTAGCCTTTCACTGTACTTACTCTTCTACCTTGAAGATGGAGGCATGAAGTTCTCCGAAACCTTGGAAACTTGTAGTCAGACTGCGGACTAACTTCTCAGAAGACATTAATACTCGCAGTCACTATACTAAGAATTATATACTCGTATGGTAGGCCCCAGAGCACTCTGGATGAATCGAAGTGGAGAGAGATCCCAATACAGCATCCGGGGTTGATGTTTCATTGCCATACTTCCAGAATAAAGTGAAGTTATCTACCTAAGGCCCGGCCATGAAGGTACATTGTGGAATCGCGACAAATTTTCACGCACTCACAGTTGGCATTAGATGTGGCGAGTGGTCAGCTTCAAGCTATGGCCGCACTGCCTTAGAGAAAAATAATTTACTAGGGCTGGAGAACTGCAGCTGAAATAGACTTTCCAGTAAAAAAAAAGTATCCTACGATGGTCCCAAATTATGCTCCATACAAATATATTTCATAACAGATATTTAAACTCGCCGAAAAATGATAAATGAGGGAAGACTCTTTGTAATATTGAAAGCGGATGAAATTAGAGTAGTTTAGGGTACTGTCCAATGGTATGCTTTGTTATTGAGCGTCCAGGTTCCGCTATCATAGTGTTAGTTAATTAATTACTTTTCTTGTTTTATTAAGAGAGTTAAACGCCAGATGTTACAGTAAATACATGAAATTTGAATTACAAAATAAAATAATAATTAAAAATCAAACTTTGTACTAATAACAATGAAAATTATGAGGCCCAATTTTCTAGAAGCTCAAAATAAAAATTGGTTAAATTGAGATCCTTAACTGTTAACGTAAAGACTGCCGGAAATATGACATGGTAGTTTCATTCTTAGTATTTCACCATTTATAATGCATAATCACCCTTTCATAACATTTAACGCAAAATAAACTTTGCAGGGTATATAGTATAATTAAATAAAGTACAACCCCAATTTTTTTCTGAATATTAAGAACTTTAAATAAGCTCCCCTTCATGATGATGAACGGGGAAATGTAGGTTTGTAGTATATGTACTAACTCGTAACTTCTGTACTACATCGAAGTAAAAGTCAATTACACGTTCCGGTCGTTTGTCTCCCGAGAAAGAACACCCTGAACACACGCGATCGGAGGCTGGGTGACAACTAGAACTGCCCTGGGCCCCATAATTATTATAGGGGTGGTAAGTAAGTACAGTCCAACCGTATGTCAGATCATAAATCGTTGAACTGTGTGCATCTGACTTCTCAGCTTGAGCAGATGTACAATTTGTGGTAAACTCTAGACTTTAGGGCCGCGCCACAGCTAAGGCCGTTAGTCGCTGGCTTCCCACCGCGGCCCGGGTCTGTTCGTCCAGGATTTGTAGTGGGCAAAGTGGCGCTGGGGCAGGTTTTCTCCGAGTACTTCGGTTTCCCCTACCAATCTTCATTTCACGAGTTGCTCCACAATCACCATCACCTATCGTCTGGGGGTGGTACAATAGGCCAGTAGTGGCCGCAGTACCAAGTGGACCCAGTCTCACTAAACTATTACACATCACTACTGTACAACAGTGTACATACGTAGCGGTTAAGACTATGGGAATCATCATCAGTAATCTGTCAGACGACAGGTCCACAGTCTCTTCCAAAACAATTCTTCCACTTATTGCGATCTAGAGCTTTCTCCTTCAAATGACAGTATCCTCTTCTGTCCCCAAGGTCATCCAGCATCTTCTTACGTCTTCTTCCTCGTCTTCTTGTCACTTCTATCCGCCCCTCTATCTTTCCTTCAATAACTTCTTTTAGAAGGCAGTTTCTGCGTAAAACATGACCCATCCAATTAGCCTTCCGTTTTCTTATTTCATGTAGGATATTCCTCTGCTCACTGACTCTAATTAGCACTTCTTCATTTCTCACATAATCGGTCCAACTGATCTTCTCCATCCTTCTCCAACACCACATTTCGAAGCTTTCCAGGTGTTTCTGATCTACTGCCCTAAGTGAGTATGGGAAAGAAGAAGAGAAATGGTAACAGGAAAACGACAAACTAAACGAAAATTATCTTAATTTGAGAGAAATGGAGACGGGATTCAGGAGGTGAGAAGTCAGCACCCATTAAGATACGGTGTTTTACTAACGCACATTCTCCGTCACTTTGGAACAGCTGCATCCTCTTGATGTTTCAACTGACGTAATGTCGGTTAAGTGTTACATGCTCGTGTATTTATTAAGGAAAGGATTGCGTGAATGGATGGCCCTTTATTCTATTACAGATCTCTGATATGATTCTGGATTTAACGGCGACACTTGTGGCACCCAAAATTAATATGCAAGTCTAACGATTTATTTGCTTGCACCTACAGTCTGCACTACTTACAGCACTTCCAGCGCTATGATGGTGAGATTAAAGTAATATATGTGATAGTTTATACCTGTGATTAAAATATTGTACTATGTATGTATGCTTTATATTTTATTTCAGTAATTGTGTCTAACATGACGATTTTAACTGTTCTATTTTACTATTATCCTCAGCCTTAGTTTGAAAATTTGACAAGAGTTGCTTTGAAACAAAATATTCCGCCCTACTAAATCGGTTAACAATAATATTATGTATTTATAATACTGAGATTTCTGTAGTACCTGATGTACCAATGCAAGTCAATGAAACTGAAATAAATTGAACATAAAGAAAGGTGTTCATTATTTCTCAACAGTTTAAGGTGTAAATATATTGTTTGATTCCCAGTTAAGTTAGAGATGCGTTTTAATTTTAAGGTTATGCAGAGTTGAAGGGGGGGTTCATTTTTGAATGATAAATTTAAATGGTCGTGTAAGGTAGCGGTTAACCTATTCTAATTTATCGACAATGATTTTCGGTGGAAGTTGCATGCGCAGAGAATATTATTATTCCCCCCCCCCCCCC